CGCCTGGCGCCTCATTCTTTTTAAGAGCTGCATGTTATTTCTTAGCGGGGTGAACCAAAATTTATCTGTCTAACCATTCAGCAATGAAGCTCCAGCAACAATTTAGATGGTTTCCAATTTTTCATTCTTTTTGGCTATTGCTTTTATAAGCATCCATATATATTATAGATCTAGTTTTGGAGATGGATTTCTGCAGATAGAATTGCTGGCAAACAAGTTTTTAAAACCCAGTTTTAGTTTTTACATATATGAGTAAAGGCATTCTAGCAAATTTTGTCTCTTTACTCATTCATGAGTGTGCTCATGGGATAACCTGTGGAGTGCTTCCTGCTCTAGCCGTTGTGCCAGGGATACAGCTGTGGACACAGCGGAAATGATCTCTTTCCTTAGGGAAATTATAGTCTAGAAAGGGAGATTTCCCCGCATCTCTGCTGCCCTTGTCTCTAATTCGTTTTAAAATGGAAAGAGAAGGGGGAGTGTTTTCATCAGAAGAGACTGCGTGGTGGAAATCCCTTTTGAATTGTTCAAGGGCAGCCATCAGCTATCAAGGGACACTCCCTCATAAACTGTGCAGGGAGCAAGCAGGCTCAGTTCTCTGGGCTGCAGGGTGGGGCTGCCCCCCCCATCTGAGCCCCATCATGTGGGGCAGGAGGGGAAGTAGCAGCTACCCAAAGAGCTGGCTGGTGTGTGCCTGAGGGAGGGTCCTGGGGACCGGCAGTGTGTCATTGTGGTGGTTTCTGTTTTTCCTCTCTCTTCTTAGGAGGGGATCAGCAGGCCCTATGGTGGGGGAATGACCAGCTTCTGGGGATCCTCACCCCAAGCCTGAGAGGCACTCACTGTTCCCAGAAGGTTTCCTGAGATGGGATGATGTGCCGGCCCTTGGTGGTGTTTGCGGCGGAGCCAGGCCCACAAGGTGTCTGGCTAACCCAGCAGGAAGGTGGGCCCTATCTCCCATCCTTACACTGGAGGCTCAGGGGAGCCACCCACCAGAGTCAGCAGCAGAGCCGGACTCTATCTGGGTTTCCTGCGTACCCACCTCACCTGCGGCACCTGTTGGTCCCGCCTCAGGAGGTCAAGGGCCCCCTGTCCCCTCTCGCTGGCCAAACTGTTCCCCAATACAGCAACTGCTATCCAGTTGGCAGTAACCGGGACTTAGAAGCCAGGTTCCCTGACCACTCCCACGAGGTGGTGGGGGTGGTCTTAGTTCAGCATCAGCCTTGCCCCTGCCTGAAAAAGGCTGGACTGGCTCATGGGCCGCTGAAATAATCACCATCTTCTCACTTTTGCCACGAGTGGGCCTTGCAGCAGAGTACTTTGCGTTTGTCATTTAATCCTTAGGAAAACCTGCACAGTGGTTCTGTGGTATCACCCCTGTGTCACAGAGGGGGAAACTGAGGGTCAGGGGCTTTGTAACTGCCCTTCCTCCTGCCTGCCTCCTGCCTTATCTGCTGCCAACCCCGCCCCTCCTTCCGGCCAGGCTGTGTCCTGTCCCTGCCGGTCCCTCCATCCCGCTAGTTCCTGCCTCCCAGCCTGTTTGCAGTTTTCTCCGCCTGGAAATACCTTCCCCCAGATCCTGAGTTTGTGTCTAAAGTAGCCCCCATCCCCACCCCAACCCGTTCCTTCACCCTGCCTTCTCAGCCTTGGGGCCTTCTCACTGCGAGGCATTCTGTGGGGTCTGCCAAGTGCCGGTCTCCACCACGAGAATAAATGTGCACGAGGGGCAGGACTTGGTCACTTTCATCTCTGTGCCTAGAACAATGTCTGGCACATAACAGATGTGCAGTTAGTGTATGCTGAATAAAACTGTTCTTCCTCCAAGGCCCCCAGCCCTCCCTCCATGACTGTTCCCTCAAGGTTGTGCCCCTACTGTGCACTGTCGAGTGGCCCCACACCCCTGTCTTCCCAACGCTTTCCAATGTTAGGAGTAGATTTTTTTTTTTTTTTTTTTTTTGAGACGGAGTTTCGCTCTTGTTACCCAGGCTGGAGTGCAATGGCGCGATCTCGGCTCACCGCAACCTCCGCCTCCTGGGTTCAGGCAATTCTCCTGCCTCAGCCTCCTGAGCAGCTGGGATTACAGGCACGCGCCACCATGCCCAGCTAATTTTTTTTGTAGATGTTGTTTATTTGCTCACTCTCTGCTCCCCCAACTACACTGTGGACTACCCGAGGGTCGTCACTGTATTCTCTGCTCCCGGCTAGTGTCTGGCTCCTGAAGGAGCTTGGTGAGCACGTGAATGGGTGAATGGACCGGTGAAGCAGAAGAGCAGAGGCTGGAACCAAGTTCTCCCATATTCAGGCCCGGCCTCTTGGCATTGTGCTGCCTCCTGGTTTGAAACTCTGATGGGAGTTCCTGGATACAGCTCATTTCAAGGCCAGGCACAGGTGGGTGCCCGGAGTGGCCGGAAGTTGTCATAGTTCTTGGGATGAATTGTCCAAAGGCAGCCATCAGCTATCAGGTGACACCCGTCTCTACTAAAAATACAAAATTAGCTGGGCAGGGTGGCAGGCTCCTGTAATCCCAGCTACTCGGGAGGCTGAAGCATGAGAACCGCTTGAACTGGGAAGTGGAGGTTGCAGTGAGCCAAGATTGCGCCATTGCGCTCCAGCCTGGGTCACAGAGCAAGACTCTGTCTCAAAATAATAATTATAATATGAATACATAAATAGTAATCAATAAATATCACCCAGGTTGGAGTGTAGTGGCACAATCCTGGCTCACTGCAGCCTCTGCCTCCTGGGTTCAAGTGATTCTCCCACCTCAGCCTCCTCAGTAATTGGGACTACAGGCACATGCCACCACACCCAGCTAATTTTTTTTTTTTTTTTTGAGAAAGTCTCCAGCTACTCTGTTGCCTGGGCTGGAGCGCAGTGGTGCCTCCCGGGTTCAAGTGATTCTTGTGCCTCAGCCTCCCAAGTAGCTGGGATTACAGGCACACACCACCACCCCTGGCTAATTTTTTTTATTTTTAGCAGAGACTGGGTTTTGCCATGTTGGCCAGGCTGATCTCAAACTCCTGGCCTCAAGTGATCTGCTTATTTCCGTCTCCCAAAGTGCTGGGATTACAGCCATGAGCCACTGTGCCTGGCCTCCATTTTTCTTAATGTAAAAGTTTAAAAATCACTCCCTGATAGCCAAGCAATTATGGTTGTTTTTAGTTTGTCACTGTTATTATAATGGCATTTTGGTTAACATCATTATGCATAAGTTTTTTGAATTTAAGATTGTTTCATAAGGTTAGATTCCTAGATTTGGAATGATTGGATTAAAAGGGTATGGATATTTTAAAGGTTCTTGCTATTTATTGCCAAATTGCTTTCCTAAAGGCCCTTGCCAGTGTAGGCTCTCAGTAGAGAGGACAGTGTTCATCTCCGTACTTCCTCTCAGCAGCAAATAGTCATATTTTTAATGCTCTCTAATTTGCTAGATAGAAAATGGCCATCTGTTAGTCGACTGGGAATGTGTATTCCTGAGTCCACCTCCCGGCTTTTACCCCAAGGCCGTGGGTGGAGGAATGTCCGTGGAAAACTCTATCTGAAATTTTTGTCTTGCAGCTGACTTTGGTGTGTCTGCCAAGAATCTGAAGACTCTGCAGAAACGAGATTCCTTCATAGGCACGCCTTACTGGTGAGTCGTGTAGCTTCTGGAAATGGAATGGACTGGACGTTAAAACTCTCCAGGGTGACCTCCAGGTGCCTTAGACGGGAGGGGCTGGAAGGCAAGGGCGGCTGGGTCAGCCTGTGGGAGCATGCCCCGCCCCGTGGCTTACTAGCGGTGTGACCTTGGACAAGCTGCCTAGCTTTCCCGTGCCTCAGTTTCTTCAGCCACAAAATTAGGGATATTATAGCTCCTATTTAAAAGGCTACTGTGAGGATGAAATGAAATGGCGCACATAGAAGGCACTCCATTAATAACTGAACTAGAATCCCTAAAACAGGATTCAGTTCATGATTTATTCACCATGTATGTATTGAGGGCAGGGGACGGGGGCCATGAAGGTGAACAGTACAACTTCAGTTCCTACGCTCATGTGAAATCTCTCTGGATTTCTCTGAGGCTTCTCTAGTCTGTCTTGTTTCTTTCTTTTCCAGAACTATTACTTTAAAAACAAAACACTGTCACTGAATTTCACGCCTGACTGCTCTCTGCCTTTTCACAATTTTTTCATGTGCATTGCTTGCCATTGTGGAGTTTGGGCTCCTTTCTTGCTTGCTTGTTACTCACCCTTGCTTTCTCTCTCTCCCCTTTTATACCTGTTTCTCCTTCTCTCTGTGCTGTTGTCTTCTCGCCCACCCACCTCCACGCCCCGGTGTTTTGCTCCGCACCTTCCCCTGCGCCCCGACCTGCCTTCTCCCCAGGACTCTGTGTTCTGGATTGCTGCTGCCATCTCGTGGTAGGCATCGGAACTGCAGCAGGAAGTGGCGGGGAGCCGCGTGGAGGCGTTTTTCTGTGGAAGAGCGTCCTAAGGAAGACACGTGGGATGCAGAGTCACGCAGATCATGATTCGGGAGTGCTGCCAACCCCTGACAGTGGCTCGTGGTGGCCCTTGACCCTGAATGTCCAAGAAGCGCCTATGGAGGCCAGATTCTTAGTCCTGTGTTGTCCCTTGGTTGGTTCAGGATGGCCCCCGAGGTGGTCATGTGTGAGACCATGAAGGACACGCCGTACGACTACAAAGCCGACATCTGGTCCCTGGGCATCACGCTGATTGAGATGGCCCAGATCGAGCCGCCACACCACGAGCTCAACCCCATGCGGGTCCTGCTAAAGATAGCCAAGTCGGATCCTCCCACGTTGCTCACGCCCTCTAAGTGGTGAGGGGCCGGGGGTGCTTGCGCTGGGGTTAGGGCTGGGATATGTGGTGGGTGGGGCTGGGGAGGTGCAGTGGTAGGGCTCTCCTGCTGCTGCTAGCCCCGAGGAGAGGTTGGGGCCTGGGGGTCTTCAGGCCTTTCTGAGCTTCGTGCCTCTTTTTTCCCTTGGTGTTTATTATTATTATTATTATTTTTTTTTTTTTGAGATAGGGTCTCACTCTTTTGCCCAGGCTGGAGTGCTGGAATTGCACCACTGCACTTCAGCCTGGGCAACAGAGTGAGACAGTGTCATCAAAATAAGAGTAGCTTAACCTCTCTGTGACTTGCTTGTCACTCTGAAATGAGAGTGGATAGTAGCAGTCCCCTTGCAGAGTGGTTGTGAGGATTCAATTAAGAGATACTATGAAGTGCTTAGCTTAAGAGCTTACTGCAACCTCGACCTCTTAGGCTCAAGAGATCCTTGCACCTCAGCCTCCCTTATAGCTGGAACTACAGGCACCCACCACCATGCCTGGCTAATTTTTTGTAGAGACGAGCTCTCCTATGTTGCCCAGGCTGGTCTTGAACTCCTGGCCTCAAGGGATCCGTCTGCTTCGGCCTCCCAAAGTGCTGGGATTATAGGTGTGAGCCATCACGCCCCCTCTGTTCTCTTGACATGAAATCTTCACAGCAAACCAGGTCACCCAAATAAGCCAGCTTCCACTGGGGGAACAGGAGCCCCTGCTGAGCCCCAGAGCCATATGGTACAACCCTGGGCGGGACATCGGGGGCCTGGGTTCAAATACTGGCACTGCTAAGTCTCCTCACTGTGTGGCCTGGGCAAATCCCTGCTCCTCTCTGATTTCTGTGTCCCCATCTGGACAGTGATGTCCATGATGAAAAGGGCGTTGTGTAGGCCCTGTCACTGTTTAGCTTGTGAAAGTTGCCTCTGTCCTTTGAGGGGCATGATTGGGACATCGGAGTCTGTGACATGGGGGACTTCTCTCTGCTCTTGCCTCCTCCATGCTCACCTCTGATGCTTGTCCTCCCAGGTCTGTAGAGTTCCGTGACTTCCTGAAGATAGCCCTGGATAAGAACCCAGAAACCCGGCCCAGTGCCGCACAGCTGCTAGAGGTGAGTGGATTCCCCTCCCGTTCCGCTCTGTGAAGGGCAGAGTCTAATGAGCTCACCAGTGACCTGGATGCCGGGCATGTTCTCACCCCGGCCAGGGGACAGCATGGACAGCTGTTCGTCTGTCAGCCAGTATTCCCCGGGCACCTCCCGAATGCCAGCCGTGTGTTGGGAGTGCCTTGGGGCATGAAGCCACCCAGACCCTGTCCTCATGGAGCATGTGTTCCAGTGGAGAGACAGGTGTCAAATAAGCAAGTACGTGCACATGGCAGGGGTGGCCAGTGCCCCGGAAGGAGATGCCATGGTGCGGGGGTGGGACGCCTGGGAGCAGCTGTTGTTTGTAAGGGAGGATACGGAAGGGCTCTCCAGGTGAGCAGATGCCCACAGGAAGGGAGAGGGCAAGGCCAGTGACCCAGAGAGAGAGGAGACAAAAGCCTGGGATGGCAGCGAATTCCGCACATGCTGGGAGGAGCCAGGGGGTAGGGGTGGGGGGGTGGGGGGGCGGTGAAGCAGAAGCGCAGGAGTGAGGGGAGGGGAGTGGAGGGGAGGAAAGATGAGACCAGAGAGGCACTGAGGTGTCCGTCCCAAGTCTCGATGTTTCCCTAGGAGAACACCTGGCCTTGGCATAGCATCTTCCCCCAGAGACTTACGACAACAGAAGTACAGAGGGAACCCAGCCCGAGGAGGAGGCACGTGGGAAGAGGTCTTGGGAGCCAGGCGCAAGTTCCCAGGGCCCCTCCCAGTATCATTCCCCGGACATGCTTCATTCTCTGTGCTGTCCACCAGGGAAGCCCCTTAGGGTTTTTACTGGGTAATGGTCACATAGGCATCCCCTCCCTGGCAAAGACCTAAGTTCCAGACTCCAGAAGGAAAGCAGGTAATCAACCTAAGCCATATCGTTTGCAGAATAGTTTAAGCAGAGCGAACCACTCTCATCAGTTAATGATGGGGTCCCCCTCCTAGTTTGCAGAGACCAGCTGAGGATCTGACCTTGTGACAGCCCTTTCTGAGGCTTGCTGTGCTGTTTTCTGCATATAGGGCCGGGCTGCACAGGGTCCTGCAGGGCCTTGCAAGCCAGAGCCAGGTCTTGGGCTTTATGTGTGTATTAGGGGAGAAACAGCATCCGACTTCCATTTATAAGGGTCCTTCTGGCTGCTGTGTGTGGGATCAGGAGACTCTGAGCGTCTAATGATTGTACTGTCTTAGAGTGGGGAGGTGGATGGAGGTTTCCTTGAAGCTTTCTGAGCTATTGGAGGGGGCTGTCAGCCATCCTTTGCCTGGGCCCATGCCTCATGCTGGGGCGTCATGGCTGGCCGCTGGGTGAGGTCAGCATGTTCACAGAAGCGTTCTGAGGACTGTGGACAGCAGTTGCCCAACCATCCACAAATATGCAGACCACTGTCCCCCTGTCACTGCCACTGATGGAAAAGGGAGGAATAGGCCTGGGTGATGCAACGGGGCTGCCCCTTTCACTGCCCTATCCGCTCCAGTCCTGCCACCAGCTCGGCAGCCTCAGAGGTACGGTGGCAGGAAGGGAGGAAGGCGCCACACCAGACACTTGAGCCTTTATGTTCACCCAGCTTTTCCCAGCTTCCTGCTGTGGGCCGTGCACTGGGCCTGTGGTCAGCATTCTGAGCCACCATGCGTCCCCTTGGGGTAGCAGCTTAGTGATTATGGGTATGAGCTGGGACGGGAAGGTCCAGGGTTCAGATCCAGCTCAGCCACTTACTGGCTGTGAGCCCCTAAGCGAGTGGCTTAACTTCTCTGTGACTTGCTTGTCACTCTGAAATGGGAGTGAATAGCAGCAGTCCCCTTACAGGGTGGTTGTGAGGACTAAGTGAAGAGGTACTAGGAAGTGCTTAGCTTAATTCTTTTTTTTTTTTTTTTTTTTTTT